AAACATGGCAGGATCCTCGTGAAAGAGTCTTGAGACTCAAGTCAAACCTCCTCCTATCAAACGGCGTTCCTAGGTTGAAATTGGCTTCAGAATAAAAGTAGATCCAAACATTTTAAGTAAAAAAATGGACAAATTCGTTATCAGAGTGATAGACATTTAACGAGAGTCCACGACATTTTAAACGTGGTCGGAACAACACAGTGGACGCTCGCGAGCTTGCGACTGTACGCACAATGTCTATTAATGCAACAATGAAAGTGATTCACATTTCAAGCACATTCTGATTAAGCAAACAAGACAGCTTCAAAACATCCCATCTAACGTATAGGTCAAGGGCAGGGCTCTCATCCCAACAGCGTGCAGGAAAATGCTGCGAGCTGCTCTCCGCAGTCATCATCATTTGCGATGGTACGAAATGAAAAGAAGACTAGAATAATAAAAAATGCAAAGCATAATACAACATGAGCAAAACATGTTCCCCAATTTGGACCGAATTCAGTGCTGGAGTGAAAAAGTACCCAAGCTTAAAGAGAATCAGAATCTTTATTTATTCTGGAGAAATCTGAAGAACTATGAAGTTTTTTTTTTCAACAGATGAGCAAACAATAGCAAAACATTTTTTTATAGGAATGCTAAGCATAGGAAACGTAAGCAAATCACTATGAATAAATATACTACAACGAAACTATTTTATTTATTTATACTTACTCGGTGAACCCCACTGAGCCATTTTTCAAAAGCGACCTGACCACAAATGAAAGCTCAATTAAGCGTCTTATCACGTGCAAGTTTATAGCAGCGACATATTCTACAACACACGTTTCTAAGAGTGTTGGTGGCCACTCACCATGGTGGCCTTCATAGGTGCCCCAAAAGTCTGTCACAGCGTTAATAGGGGATATCTTTGTCTTTGTTAATTTAATATGTTATATATGAAACAGCACCAGCAATGAGAAATGCAAATGAAATTAAAGACGTATCAATTGAAAACGATTAACTATTACATAAACCTCCTTCTCTACCATGAATCCCCTTCTCAACATAAGGTTAGGCAAATGAAAAGTCATTAATCGATGCTCTTCTATTATTCAACAGGGCTGCGCACGTAACAGTGCACTTTGGGTGGCGTGGGAAGCTCATTGCGTTGGAAGCCTTCCAGGTAACAGCTTTGTGGAGGGGAAAAAGAATCAAATTCGCAAGTTAAGGAAAGGTAACTGGACCCTACATCATTTTCAGTCATTGCCCACTTAAACCGCACGTCCGCCAACGAGGGCGCGCGTGCCACTCCAACGTCGAGCTCCACGTCGATTTACCCATGAGAGCACCTAGCGCAAGAAAACCATCGCCGATCGCCTGGGAGGACGTGGGAACTTAAGGTCGAGTGTGGACGTCAGCAGCCCTCCTTAATTGAACGAAACCCAGGATGGGAAGCAAAACAGCCCCTCCGCCCTCCATTGTGTTAATCAGACCGACCGCTGTATCGGCGTACAATGAACAGAAGGATTGGGTGCAACACCAGAGCATTGGTTGCCAGCGCCACAACTATAACTCCCAGCGTGCGGAAATTAATTGTGCTGGCCTCGAATCCCAAGATACTTATGGTTTTTGTTTTGAATTTATTTTCTACTCCACAAAGAACCATTAACTTCTGGATGACCAGCATGTTTCTGATTATGTATTCGTCATTGTTTATATATATATATAATATAACTTGTGTTGAATGCCATTAGGGCCCGGACACATTAAAATATTCGAGAAATTCTGAAACGTTTGCCCTTGCATGGAATAAGCCATGAAATTATATCATATGATATTAGCATGGTGATGTATGACTCATTTAGTCATCTATAAACAAAAATGGAATTTGATGAAATAATAATGGTCATTGTGAAGAGAGAATTGAACATTTTAAAAAGTGGAAAAGAAATCAGACATAATGGACACATTGTTACGCGTGTCATATGCATAATTGTTGTCTCGCACATGTTTTTTTCTCACAATGAGTTTAAAAAATTCTCAATCCACATCGTTTTCCAACCACTGACCCAAGTCCACAATTATCAATTGAGTTAATTAGTTAAGCAGCCTATTACTGGTCTAATACGAGAGCCGTGCCATCATCGTTATTAACCCATTGACACTGATTGAACACATTGGAACAGATCCATCCAATGCATATTTTGCCACACAAATGACTGCTGTCAAAGATCTGGTACTTGTCAATAAGTTTAACACAAGTTTGCATAAGTTGGTATTGACACCTGTTCTGTATATCACAGAGTCTTTTCTTAGTTGTTTTCCATTTACATTTCTTAACTGACATGTTCCATGAATCTAATGGACCAAGTTTGATTTCCTGCCATCCACCCACAGCTAACATCAGTCCCGAATGATGTCTGTAGAGATCCAAGACAATACCCCACCATTTTCCTCCACACTGACAAGCATGGTGAAGTATGGTGCGGTATGGTGAACCAAACCTCATGACCAACTAGGTCTTCATCCAGCAGTAGATTGCCAAATGGTTTGTACATTATTATTTTATGTAACTGAACGAAAAACGTAGTGAAATGAATACATCCTGTGGTTAAATATAACCATTAAGGAAAAGCTATGTGACCCTGAGAAGAGATACAATGTCTATAGAGAAGAGACTGCACATTGTTGTTCATCTGTCATGCCATGAATGTCAACTCTGAATATCAGATATACATTGTGTGTCCTGTACATTTTGTTTAGTTTTCAAAGTCTCTTAGCCCAACGACGTTTTTGCTGAGCAAACTTAATGCGCGTGACTTTTATGAACAACACAAAAGTCTGTGGAATTGGTTGTCTAAGCAAGATACACAGAATATTGCATGGGTACCACCTTATATTACAGCACAAATCGTGCGTCACGGGCAATAATTAACATTGGGTCTGCGATGAAAATGAGTAAACAGAGAGTTAAGCACAGTGGGGGGCTTTTGGAATGCTGAACTTTAAAACGAACAGAAACATACAAATGTACCCAAAGATAAACGAAACAATTCACTCAGTACATACAGCCAACAGTTATATATAGATCAGAAACACGGAAACTGACAACAACAATGGGACAAGAGCAGAGATGTGTAGAAAGGAACAAGGACAGATGCATGTTCAGACAGGAAGAGAGCACATGGATCAGGGAACAAGTAGAAATCAGACATCATATTGACTGCTGTGAAAAGCGAGGGAACTTGGGCAGGACACATTGCTATAAGGAATTACCGTTGATGGATGGGACTGGTGAGAGAGAATGCATCCAAGAGGATGCACAGAGATCAGCGCACGTGAAGGATTGAAATGGGCTGTGGCATCGCATCAGCACGAGCGAAGGTGGCAGCATGTGGACACCAGCATGGGGACACATTTATCTAGCAGTGGATAATCGATGGCTAGTGATGATTATGACATTTGTTTAAATTAAATACATAAACGTCCAATACATTGGGGGGAGAGGGGGGAAGGAATCTGCGTTTCAAATGTGCAAATGTTATCAGCAAACATTCGTTTCTGCAAGTGGCTCCCGGCAAGATTTATTGGTTTCCCCATGTCCCAGAAGGTACTCCCATAGCACCCACAGTTTTGGCAGAAAAGTGAGAAAAAATCCCAGCATAACAGCTTCCACGTGTGTTTTCTGTCAGCGTGCATGCATCGCAAGGCCCAACTGTGCATTTCGCACTTCTTAAAAACCCAAACTGCGTCCAAAGCTCTACCTGTGTTTTGCCGAAATAAGTGCGAGGGTGCAATTTTGGTCTCCTTTGGCAAGTAAAATAAGAAAGCACTGCTGTGTAGGTGTTTGCGGTTGTGCCGGGTGGCTCTCAGATGTTGCGTTCACAGTTTGTACGCCGTGTTGTTCGGCGCGACCTTTGATGTTTCGCTCCGCGTTGCAGGACCTTCTTCAGGCATCTTCCGGCTAACATTTCCTGAGGACGCTCTAAGCACGGTAGACGTTTCGTGCTGAATGAAATACGGTACCAACCCAAAAAACACTTCGGCGAGCAAAACGGAAAGCGCTCCATTTCTTCCACGCCGGTGCAGCTCGGAAAAAGAAATCCCCGCTCTTGTAGATGCGTGTGGTTGTGTATTGGTTGGCTTGGGATGGTAGACCGTGTCTCCTATAAGTAGAACTGCTGTTTTATTGGCCAGGCCTACTCAGAAAGATTTTTTTGGACTTTGAAAGGTCCCAAGAAAATGAATCTATTTCGGTCACGTGAAGTTTATCCACGCGAGGCGGCTCTTTGTGGCCAATAACTACAGAATTTAATGCAACAGAGCTTCGTGCAAAACTCCAAGGAATGCATACCGAACAACAGCTGTAACTGGCTGCGCTATTGTTATGACATGCTATTACGTGAATGTAATAAAAAACACATAGTGTAATGTCTGATGACGAACATATTAATCAGATCCCCTATTCCATTGCGTAACCATTTGGCGGTGATGTGGCTGACTGGGACAGTGCGTTTTGCTGCCTGCAGCAGAGGTCCCTGGTTAAAACCCAGTGGCCACCCTGGTTAATACCGCAGTCATGCGAAGTGTAGTTGTAAGTAACCATTAAACAAGAGAGGTCCCCTACACAGTGGATTTTAAGAGATCCCGTGACGTTATTTGAATAACATTAGGCCATGTCTGCTGGCCAATTAACCACATTATAGAATGATGTGGGTGGGGATGGGGGGGGGGGGGGTGGTGGCGTTGAGAGGAGGGTGACATTGTCAGTCAACGCTCAACGAGCTGCAAGCTGCATTTCTAAACGGTAGGCAGAACGTGTGACGAAACAACCTTATCTTGCCGACCGTGCATTCTGCTCAGGCTCTCGCCCTTTATGCACGTGACAAAGCGTTGTGACGCCCATCGCTTAATTGTATGAATTGTTCAAAAACGGGCAGTGGAGGGGGCGGTGGGGGGGGGAGAGGGGGGTGGGTGGATGGGGGGGGGGGGAGCTGCTAGCAGAGACCGCCGCCGTCGCTCACCTTTGCAAGTCGTGCGCGACTCAGAGGGCTCGTAACCGGAGCGGCAGGTGCAGCTCCCGATGGGCACCATCCAGTCGCCGTCGCCGTTGCAGTAGAGCTTGATGGGCATGTCGTTCTCCTCGGCGTTGGGCACGCACGTGCCCCGCGCGATCACGAGCGACGTGCTCTCGGCCCCCGTGAGCGTCTCGCCGAACACGGCGAAGTTCTGCACGACGCGCTGGCACTTGCGGTAGAAGACCTTGACGGTGATGAGCGACATGCAGCCCCCGTAGTCCTGGAAGGCCAGGTAGAAGCCGCGCCTCGTCAGCGGCCCGAAGCTGCGCACCTCCGTGTTGATCTTCAGCACCTTGCCGCCCATGTCCACCTCGGAGAAGCTCTGGTCGGGCGCGATGGTGTCCACGCGGACGAACGGGCTCTCGGTCCAGTGCGGGCCGCCGCCGTTGCCCTGCGTGTCGCCGTCGGCCTCGTAGTAGTAGAGGTTGAAGGTCTCCTTGCACGAGCCCGGCACGTTGGGGATGCTGCTGCAGTCGCGCACCGAGAACTTAATCTCGACGTATACGCGCTGAGCGCCGCCGCGCTCGATGTAGTCGGTGCGCAGCCAGTTGTTCTGGTTCGGCTCGAACACGTTGCACACTTGGTAGGTGCGGATGGCGTTCATCTTCTCGTCGTAGCCGCTCACCTCTTCCCACTGCTGAAATGGAGGGGGTGGGGGGACGGGGCAGGGCAGCGGGAGAGGGGGGGGGAGTGGTTCGCGGGACGCGGTTAGAGCGATCGGTGAGCGCGACGCGGCAGAGCGCGACTCGGGGTCGCGCGGTGGGGCGGCGGCTGTGCAGGTGGCGTTGTCCAAGACGCCGGACAGACGAGCAGCGCGAGTGCATCGTGGTCCCTGGGACGGTTGAGACGGGTTGCGATTAGCAGGGCGCCGGAGCTGCCGAGGCATCTCTCAGCGCCCAATAAATGCAAATCCGTATGGGGGGAGAGATGCATTGCAGATGTGTGCAATGTGGAAGATGCGTCTGCGTTGTGGGTTAAATGTAGCGGATGCGTAGAAGGCAGTTCGACAGCTGCTGAAAGCACGGGGCGGTTATTTTGCGAGAAATGAAGATGTTCACTTCGGAAAGGTTTCTGTCTATTTTCTTATTTTTTTAACCGTTCTAATACCATTTTATACAACGCATAGCTTCACTCAAGAAAAGCTACACAGCTGTAGCAAACAAAAAAAATCTTCACAACGGACGTAATCTTTTTCAACCATTTATCTTCTTAAAGCTGTTTTTACCTGCGTCAGGCTTTGCGCTGCTGGAGCCAGGCATGGATTACAAGCTCTGGATTTACGTTTTAAAGGCAAAATGAAGACAGGGTCTGATAAAAAATATATATATATACACACGAGTGCCAGGACTAGCAATCCAGCACTGTGTGCTTGGCAGACTGTGCTGTGTGATTTTGCAAAAGACACGCTCGTGAATTCTTGGCAGAAATCGCTTTCGCTTTGGCACAATTATTCCTTTTGTGGGATGCACACTGAGCCACTAAATGTGCAATATGACCATTGCGACCCCTATTTTAAACCAATACTTAGTCATTCTCCAGTGTAATTTTACACACATAAAACTTTCATGAAAAATTCCGCACCTGCATTCAAAGCAGCGTGCAAAAAAGTTCAGTTTATTGGACATGCCTACAATTGCTGTCAAGGAACATCCAGCATAGTCAACCTCAGGGAATATATCACGAAGTTTGTAATGTGAATGAGCATAATCTGATCAAGCATTTGCATGATATAATTTGTGTGCCAAGCCACATTGGGGCCGGGCAGTGAATGCTGAACATAAATCGTAGAAATATGCACTTTGTTTGGAAGTGCAAACTTTCACGTCAATATTTTTTTGCTGTTGAAAACATTAGATATGAATGCCATGGTGAAGCATCAAAGTGAGCCATTCTGCATTCTGTATTGATATTCGAGCCTGTTTCAAGATGTCAGACAACACTGGCTTTGCTTGATTTGGAATGCATTTGAACAGGCTCAATTTGGTAAGATGGCATTACGTAATCCACGCATAGCCATGATGACAATAATAATATATAATGGAAGGTATAATGTCACACGCGGTGACTTTTGTATTCAGCCTGTGGTCAGGATATAAATCGTTTGGTCAAGCATTATGACAAGCTGTCCAAGACATCACAGATGTTTGACCCGCAGTGTACCGGTCGGCACACTGGACTTGCATTCCACATCTCGCCTGTTCTATTCGATCTCCCGGTACGGCAGTTGAGGCAGCAGTGTGGAGCTTCTCAAATCCACCCATCTCTGTCCACCCAGCGGTATGAATGTGTACGCATTCGTCGAGGTAAAGTGTGGCGTACTCCGAACCTCTTCCAAGACACCTGTCTCTGAATGGAAGAGTAGGCCAAATTACTCTGTGGAGGGGCTCTCTAGAGCTCCCTCTAATCGTGGCCACTCTGCTAGCAGCTGGTGCATGCACGTACGTATGTTGAACTTCTTTTGCACCATACATAGCCAACCGTGCATTTCGGAGGTGCGGGGGAATGACAACGGACTGAACACAAAGCTGGTCTCGTTTGTGGTCATTCCTCCACACCTCCGAGCAAGGGTGGACCTTTACCTTAACCAAGAAATCATGATTTAGATGACCAGGATCTACTTAAACTATCGTCACTGTGGGGGTTCGGTAAAATGAGTATATCTCGGTCATCATCAATTGATGGTCAGTCGACAGAATTGGTTTTGAGTAGCGATTTGTCCTCATTAACCACTGTGTTGGAATTACTAATAGAGATGAGCACTGCCCAATGGTTACTTAGTAAACCGGATAAATGGACTTGCCTTCTAAAGGTCGACCACCCTGCAAGTGAAACGTGCACTCTCCGTTTAAATGCCGAGTAGCTGTATCGCCTTCAAAGCGATTGTGCTTTAAGCTTTACATGCAAAACATGTTGCCAGCACACTGCTAGAAGCAGACACATGTTAAATTTAAATATATATTTCGTAGAGTTTGATGGGGGGAGGGGACAAATAAAAATGTATATTTTATGCACGGAACTTTTTATTTGACATTTTGTACCTATTAGCAAAGAACACATGATGGAAACCCAGGTTTCTGCCAGTGACTATCATAAATTAACCACTGGAAATATTAACTTTACTTCAAGTCACTTTAATTAGTTTCAAATTTACGATTTCGTTTGTCCAATTAAGCAAAAACAAGCCCTAAATGCTATCGGCCAAATCTGGAATTTAAGAACGGCATCATATATTAAAGCACGCACGGGGCACGGCCCAAGTCACGTGAATACTACTAAGATAAAAAAAAAATTGTGATGCCTTAAAACTAATGCCTACAGCCCTGTAATTATGGTTACACGTTGCTTGGAAAGTGAAGGATCTAATTAGTTTGTGGAGTGGTAGCATCTGGGTCACCCGTGTTTTGTCAACACGCATCTTGCTTACTCTTGGGAGGCCGCGTGTTCCAATGAGGTGCAAAACACAGCTTTATGTAGACACAGGGGACGGTGGGGTGGCGGCGGGGGAAGTGGTACAAATGGAAAAATTATTATTATTTTGGCTGGTGGGAGTGCAGGTAGGATGAGCAGCTGCACTGAGGTGAGAGTGGCTCGGAGAGTAAAGTGGAGCAGTACAACGAGCGTGAGAGTGTTTCCTTCCCCCCCCCCACCACCTCTCTCAGCTCACACAAACACTCGGAGGACCTCCACGCACAGGGCTTGGACATTTTCATTATGTCGCGACAACCACATTTCCGAGGGAGTCCTATACTTTCCGCTGACCTATCCGCCCTCTCTACCCACGACAACCACCTTCATCTCTCCAAGAGGGGGCAACGATAGGGAGGGAAACGGAACGTGTGAAAGGTCGCGACATTGATTCTGAAAATAAGGTCACGGGCGTGCGACTGGAGGGGCTATTACTTGTAGCTTGTTTCAGCGAGACTTTGCCTTCCACGTATGGAGTGTTTCCCGTGTCGTGGTTCAAGGAACGTCAAAAAAACTCAAAAGCGCCATGGGTCGTGCAGAGTGTCCGACTCAAGACAAAGGCATATTATTGGAAATGTTTTAAAATTACAAGCGAAGCACCGGTCTTGTTAAAGCAAAAACTTACAAGCAGCCAAAAAATCAAAAAGGCATGGTATAATTTAGATCAAAAGCCTATTTAAATAAAGAGCGGTGGTAGAAATTATTTATGTCCTCACATTTTATGAACGGGCATTGTAAGGAACCTTATGTGTCCATCTCTAAGTCAGTCGGCAAGTCACGGCGCTTACTTGAATAATTTCCATCGTACCGATGGGCTCATTCTGACCACTGACCTATTAAAAAATTATGACTGACAATTTTCACCACGGCAATCTATTCATTAATCCCCCCCCCCCCCACTTTGCGCAAGAGCACAGAAGTGTGGTTATCACATCTACGCCTCTATATAAGGAACGAACACGTGGACTTCTCCACAAATCTGGCTGTCGCCTGATAGTTGTAATTACTGGCGAAACGTCGTACTCAGATTCTAAATGTTGTGGCTTGGCTCTCCAACACACCGGTGTGCTGTACTAGTGACGAATTGGCACGTTCTGTTTACGTGACAATCTTTACAAGTTGGCTGTGTCGGATGGAGGTGGGTTTTAAGAACACATCTATATATTTACGCGATCTAACCCAAAAGGCCTCTTATGGAATCTGTTCGGGTTTCTACATTTCTAAATTCTCTTTCCATTCCTCTCATTTTTGGAGAGTTGGCAACAATTTGAGTTACCACGATGGGCGGAAACTGAATGCAGACTTGTGGGAGGGGACTTTAAAACAGTGACATTTCACTGGCGTTTGCTAGCATGCTACCTATTGAGTATGACATGTGCTCACACGCGTGGTTCGACGGTGATGTCAAAAATGTTGCATGCAAATTAAAGGGGAGCAATCGTACCTGGCAATTTATTGCCATTCCATGCAGCACTGCAGCTACAGATTATCCCATAATGGCTGGTTATGCCTTGGCACAGGGTTGGTTTACTTTTAAGAGTAGAGTTATATGTGCACCCTTTCCATAGCCACATGATTAGTGTAGTCACTTTGCCCAGCAAACCTCACGTGGCATTAAACAATGGGAAAATCTTCTCTCTTTTCCAATCAGGAGCGTTATAATCCACTTGTTTTTATTCATCCTTCTTGCACTGCTCTGCTGTGTTTGGAATTGGTGTGTCCTACATATGTAGATGTGCAAAAGGCTGTTACAACAATTAAGTCCTCTTCAATATTTAAAAAGGTGGTTAATTATTAAAAAAATATGATTCCAGTAATTCTGCTGCATAAATAGGGACATTTGGTATCGATTAAATGCTAGAATAAGGGCATTGTAGTAAGCCATGTTCATGTGCTAACAACGGCTGATATGGAATACAGCTTAGCTTGCGTGTGGATTGTATTGTCAATATTTGCAAGAAACTAAAGATAAACTTATATTTAGACACGGTGATCGAAGATCAGATAAGCCAGTTCACTACTCTCAGTTGATTAAGCACTTGAATCATTCCTAAGAGTGCTGAATAATGTGGGAAGGCTTATATTCTTATGAAGTTGAAGGAAACAATGTTTAACATCTTATAATGGCATGAAAACAACATTTCAAACGCAAAAATGCGTCGGTTTTTGTAGTTGGGCTGTAGGGTCCTCACTTAACGCGTGTTCGCGATCGAGCGGTTCTTCCATTAGGGGACACTTCACACAACGCAGAACGCACCCTGTTATAGCGCAGACTCTGAGTGGTCGAAGACGAGCTAGGTTCTTGAACTGCGCGGCTGAGCGGTATGGGAATTCTGGGTACACGCTGGGAATGATGCGGTACGCGGTGGCGTACCCTCATCTCAGTTCTTGGTCCTATCGTCTTACTTTGTGTGGATGTATCTTGCCAAACTTTATGTTTACTTTCCTTGTTACGGGGACATCGTTTTCGCTTAACAGTGTGTTACACTTAACACGACACCTTCCGATTAGCATGGTTCGACTACGTACGGTGCGAAAGAAATTCATCATACATACATCCTCATCAGGAACGCACCTACGACACTAAGCAAGGAATTACTGTTTCACTCTACAATGTGTCTTTGGGTTGCTTGGCACAATGTCGACGTTTTGCTCCACGTGCTTCAGAGCTTCTTTGGGAACTGAAAAGAAGAAGCTCCTGGGACGTGGGGCTAAGCATCGGACATCGTGCCAAATGGCACGCGGCGGAAACAAGAAAGGACAGTGTGTTGAGAACGTTGTGGACAAATCTCGACACTTACCCCGTTCCCCGGCTGAGCCAGCCATCCGAGCTCGGACGTGGCAAACGTGGAGTCCATGAGAATCTCTGCAAAAATAAACACAAAGAGGAAAGCATCGGGTCAATGTTTCTACATCACACAAACACAAAAGACACAGTCTCCCAGTTTACCCTTGAACTGTGAGCAGAGCACTGTTGGGAAGTGCTTATTGAACCCGGCACGACTCACACAGAGGACTGGTACGGCCAGCAACCTGCAAGGCTGCCCTTTGTCTGCCAAGTGAGGACATTCACACGGCGCACGCCGGTTGAGCTGACCTACGGGAGACCCAACACAAGCTGAGATGCCACCTGTGTTGCGATGTTAGCCATGGCTGGCAATCAAACCCAAGTGCACGAGGTCACCAGCACAGTTTACGAACCAAAATTCCCACCGCTCCCCCAAGCACGACAACGACGGGCAGCCCTCGCCACCAAGCGACGGCGATGTTGCCACAGCGCTCCCCCACAAAGTCAAACACATGTGCACATGCAACGCACACGTGTGGGTGTATGGAAATACACTCCAAAAAAGACAGAGATCCCCCGTATAGCCTTAACAGACTGTTGGGGCAAGTGCTATGAGCGAGCACCGATGAAGGTCGGCAAGGCAGACCGGGGGGTGAGTGGCCACCAGCACCACGCACGGCCGATTTTATCTCCCCAAGTGGCGATGTTAAGACACCGCACCAGGTACTCATTTAAGGCTGAGTCGACCTAGGGGAGGCCCACGACCGGTTCAGATAATCGTCACTGGTGTTGGCAGTGAGCGGGAATAGAACTCGGACCGCTCCCGACAACGCCGCATTGTACGCGCACGTTATTCAAATGCACATCTCAAGATACCCGTCCCATTCAATGCACTTCATATGCATTCATGGCTAATAATTATAACATTCGTAGTAACAGTGCGTCGATTAGACAGACGACGCCTATGCAGTGTGTGCAGGAAACACGTCCGAGGGCTTGCAAAAGAAACTACCTCACTTGCAGCCATACGTTTTGTCTGTGTGTTTAATGGGTGGTGCACGTTTCCATGGGAAAATACATGCGGCCGTGTTTTTTCATGCATTTCTTTTTCAAATCCCACCGGGAATGTTGACGTTGGGATGAGAGGAAGCGTTGTCAATAAGCATGGTTGACATAAAGAAAAAAAAAAACCTTGGAATGTATGTTGAGCCGTTAATGAAAGGTTGGTACGAGCTGGAGCACTTAATTAATGTCGGCATAACAGTTCTTTGTCAAGGTGTATGGTCAGTAATAATGGAAAAGTAGGCCAAATTATCTCTTTAGGGGTTCTGTAGAGCTCTATCTGGTGGAGGCATCTTCTGCCGGCAGTGGTATTAAGAATTCGAGTATTTGGTTTCGAGTATTTGGTTGCTATGCATTTCCAACGTGAGAAACCACTCTATTGGGTGATCATTTGTGGCCAGGTCACTTCTGCAAAAGAGCTACGTAGGTCAGTGGGCCTTACCTGGTTAAATAAAACAGGGTTTCGTTTTAGTTTAAGCAATTGCAGGGCTGCACCTTTATCTTAAAAGACAAGTTTTCACCAGAAAAAACACGAATCGTCGTCCCACAAAATCAGACTACATGATTATTCTGTGCATGTATATTACATCCATTTATCGGTCCACTGCTGGATGAATGTTTTCCTGAGTCACATCATTTATAGAAGTGCTATGGCCATACTTTACACGAGGGCCAGTTTGGGTTGATGAAATGGAGGGCTTAGGACCTGTTCAGATATCACTCCTCGGCGGTGTTAGCCATGGTTGGAATCGAACTCGGGTCGTCAGTTTTATAGCACACAAGAGTGTAACCAATCCCACCTTACAAATGTACCTATAACACACGAAGGTATTTCTAAACATGACAGATAAAAAGACAATGTTTCTTTCCCATATCTGTCAGCTTACCTATTTAGTTACTTACGGTCTGCACAACGGCGCTAACGATTGCGTTGAATTCATGAACAACCGCCTTTGACAAAAAAAATGTAAATCCAGTATGGGATATCGCAGCACAGGATGGGTATGTAAGAAATGGCACGCAGAGCAGATCATTGCAAGCTCAAGCACGTTTCACGTCGGTGTTCCCAAGACAACTGAGGTTCGGCTGGCTAGGTAAGAAGTCTGGATTAGTGGCAATTATACGTAGGTGTGGGCCCTATTTACAGGCGAGGTTTCATCATACGTTTCTTTTAATTGTTACTCATGCGGGGAGTTTATCCCATCTCATTTGTGTCTTTTGAATAAACTGGCGCCGGTGATTATATTTTTTCCCACCAAAATGTCAACATTCATAATTAATCTCCGCTAACTACATGTTATATTAGACCAACTTAGAAAAATATATAATGCTCTGAATGTTAATGGTTACACATCTCTGCGAGAATTGCTTCGCCAGAGCAGATTGTAATGAATGATACGGCAAAGGTAGGAAATAGCAGTGGCATTTTGGCTTTCTCGATATTACCAAAATGATTTATGAGGCTTTCATTAGAGTTCATTTATTTGTTTCTGCAAGCTTCGAAACCAATTTTCAGGGTTTAATGTACGGGATGAATGTGCCCCGCATTCACATGCTACTGTCACACGGAAAAGTTTAGACCAAGAAACACTAACCTTGAAACGGCCATGAATGAGGCAACATCTGCATTGAATGCATCGGTATATACATATATACATGTGCAACAGGCATGTCCCTAAAGCAGCTTTGTTTTCAAGTTCCCTTGTGAACACTTTGTTGAAGCTAGCCTTGCCAATTGATTTCACACAATCCTCCTGAAACCACATAGAGACATGAGAGCCAAACTTACAGGCACAATATAATGCAGATTTTGCATGGGTTATGGTAAGCACGTGAGAACTGCAGACAATATTATTTATTTGTTTGTTAAATGTATATACTACAGATTCAAATATAAAGTATAGAGAGACTTATGTTGAATTTAAATATAACATCATAATCCTCATTGTCAATGTAATTTCCACATGCAATTCTGTTATTAGAAATATCAATTTTTCTTTTTTAATCTGTACGATATTTGGGTCATTATGTTGTTTATTAGCTTCCATTTCCCACTTGTATTAATAATTCTGTATTAATAATTCCTGTATTAATAATTCCTCATCACATGAATAGATGAATACAATTCAAATCAATACATCATTTGTGCGTCAGTTACAGGGGTGGAGGGGGGGATTATCTAACCATGCTTCACCAAGTGTATTAATGCATGTTGGTGAAATGGGGGCCTAGGACATGTTGAGGTACCACTTGCCACTACTATCAGCCACGGCCAGGAATTGAACTTGGCTCGCCGGGTTTATCGCGCAGTGTGCTAACCACCATAACACTGCTCCCCCCCCCCCCCCCCATATGCACACACCAAAACCTCGACCAAAATTTATATGACAGTAACATTTTTTCTGTGCATTTGCTCCTTCTTTAGAGTTCAAAGTGAAAATACTTCTCAAAGAAATGTTCACTTTTGGGTGTGACATTACTTGAGCGTAATTATGTATTCCATATAAAGCAATTAGGTTGGCACCACTGCACATACAGTGGTTTAAAGGGTAAGTCGGTAACATCTTCGGTCTCTTTTCATGTACGTACAAAAACATTGCTGAATATTCTCCTTTTAGCCGTTACCTTTGTCAGTGTTGTGAACCCATTACCCTCAAACTGATCGGCATTTGATTGTTACCACAAAGTCACGCGGTGCAGCTTCTGCGCCCCGTGACATCTGATACAGAAGCCACTTCTGATAGATTCTGCCAGTGGAGTGACACAGCTGTAAGGAGGAGGTGGTTTGGGGCGCGTAAAACCAACGCAAGCCTTCCGTGTGACTGCAGCATTGCAATGTGCACCGTGAGTGATGTTCCTTCGGCAATAGGCGGTGCATTTTGCCGGTGCAGTTTATCTTTATAACTGGTATTTAATATTGGTTCAGCAGGCTCAGAGGCCAAAGGATGAAAATACATTATATCTTTAAGCGGAGTTCTGTTTCGTTATTTATTTGTTATTCCTGATTGTTATGCTCTCTGAAATAATAGTCTGTTGCTGATGATAATGATGATGACCATGATGGTGACACAACATGAAACAATGTCATTTATAGAGTCTGAATGCAACTGCAAGATGATGACAATCGTGATGACGGATATTTACCTAATTTTATTGGTCACAAATAAGGCAAATATGTAAAGAAAGCAAGTGATCTGCTGATCTGAGTGAATGGACCATTCCGTGTATCACATTCAGAGTATGGAAAATTATAGACATACATAGTCACTATACAGTACTCTCTAGGTAGAAGCTGGATTGATGACACACGACAGTTCTGTTTTGTGATCATGAAAGATGAATTTAACAAACAATACCTAGTCACCCATTGTTAGTAATTTATGTAGGACTTGCTCGTAGTCCTTGCATACGCACATGTGATTAGAAATGTCTTATTTTATGCCAATTGTCAAGTGTCAATGACATCACAAAACATTATAATGCGGGGCTAAATATAAAAAAGTTAACCAAAAAATTTGTCTCGAAAGCCAAAATCTTCACCTCATGTAGTCACGGTGTGAATCAACAACGCCCCTGGATGGCAGACGAACACGTAGTGTCTCATGACTCAGACGCACAGACGCGACACGTTAAATAACGTAGCCACAAGGCAGACACCTTTAATCAAACAGGTAAGTTAGAGTTCAATATCAGCTTAAACAATAATTGATAATCTTCTTGGTTCTTTCGGTAAAGTCACGTAGAAGGGAAATAATAAAATAATAAAAATAAAACATAATAAAATACAATTCTCACGACGTTTCGGCCGCAACACAAGCAGCCGTCCTCAGGTGAAGACCTGTTCTTCACCTGAGGACGGCTGCTTGTGTTGCGGCCGAAACGTCGTGAGAATTATTTATTATGTTTTATTTTTATTATTTTATTATTTCCCTTCTACGTGACTTTACCGAAAGAACCAAGGAGATTAATTCCTGCAGTCACGAAAGCTTTAAGTCAAGATACAATTACAATTGTCC